AGGAGGGCCCTGCTAGGAGTAATAGAGATGCAGGAGCATCAAACTACCATCCTTCATGATATCCAGCAGAGCCTAGCCATTTTGGTAGGGCGTTCTGAGGGAGCACCATCACCGGCAGGGCCTGGTGCGTGGCCTGTGTCATATCCTCCTTTCTCTGTCCCACCGGTGACTGGGGTATCCCCATATGTAGCCCCGTCATCGGTTGCTATCGTTTCCCTGGGCATGCCTCTGTCAGGAGGGGTAACAACAGGGAGTAGTTTACAGGTTCCTGTACAGACAATGTTTACTCCAAGTCCGTCACAGGTTGCAGTCACCACGCAGCCTCCTGTCTCGCAGCCAGTGCAGCCACTGGGCTCACAGCCCCAGCAGCTAGCACAGCAACCTGTTTCACCGGGTCCACAACCTGGAATGATGCAGGGACCGGGACAAACACATTGGGTTTCAAAGACGGCCATCGCCGCTCCCAAACCTTTTACAGGGGACAAGAGAGGCGAGGACCTCGACACATGGTTGAGGGCAGTGCCGGTCTACGTCAGGTGCAAACTCACCTTGCCGCACGAAGAAGTGCTTGTGGCTGCCTCCTACCTCGAGGGTAGTGCAGCAAGATGGTTGAGTGGTCTAGTACAACTTCAGGGATACGGTCATGACTTCTGTGCTTGGGCGGCCTCCCAGAAATTGGAGGACTTCCTGAAGATGGTGGAAGAGAGGTGGCATGATCCTCAGGAGGCTCAAAGGGCCACTGACGCGATCCTGACACTGCACACACGACAGTTTAAGTCAGTAAGGGAAGCCACCGACGCTGTTGAGCGTTTGATCTGTGTCCTTGGGGTACGCTATGATCCTCAGGTCCTGTTGACTTCGTTCGTGAGATGTTTTTCACAGCCTCTCAGGAACCAGTTGGCAAAAGAGGCCAACATCAATATGCACAACTTTCCTTCGTCTAGCAAGGTGGCCCTAGACCTAGAAGCAAAGATAGGGCATGGACAGGCACCCACTACGGAGGGGAGAAAGAAGACACTGCCTCCCAACTGGAAGGCGAAGGGTCGCTTAATGTTTGTCGACAACGATGGTTCAACCATCGAGTTGGACGGCAACTTCCAGGAGGGAGTAGGCGCAGAGGCAGGTGGCGAAACTTCAGAGGGTGGAGTAGTCGCCACCGTAACCCAACAAAAAGGTAAGGGGACCGGTAGACGCCGCGGAGGCTCCCGGTCTAGGAATCAGGTTGACCCCAATGCTCCTCCATGGGAGAAAG